TTTTACTGATTTTCGTCTACTGGTACGGAACTAGAAGTCGTTCTCGTCTTGAGAAAACTTTCCCCGGACTTCAAGGTCCAAAGCAATGGCCCTTCATTGGAACTCTACCAGATGCGATACGAAGTGGGGGTCAATTGCACTTGCAATTCGACGATGACTACAAGAAATTCGGGAAAGTCTTTCGAACTATGTTTTTTGATATTCCCACAATTTTRATCAGCGACCCTYTGATGATCAAAGATGTATTTGTGAAATGTTTTGGCAGCTTTCATGACAGGCCGGTAAGATTCTTGATTTGTTATTGCAACTTTACATAAATGTAATTGGTCGGTAAATCATTTTTCCCAATATTGCATTGAAACAATTTGATTATTAGTTTTATTAAAACACAGGAAGCCCGCGCGAGCAGGATGACTTTATATGATTTTGTTATGCTTTGTCCACATTTGGGACTTGCTTAATATGTTGAGGGAAATTTWAAAAAATATCAACTCTGAAGGTTTAAACACTTAAGAAGACTTAAACACTTAAGAAGACGCATTTATTGCAAAGAAAAATATTTGTTATTATTTGTTTATTATATATTTAAGCCTTGTGTTCTATAGTTTCTAGTTAGTATCCCAGAACCTTTTGATAAGAGACTTGATATTGCCAGAGGAGAAACATGGAAGCGTATTCGTACCATTGCATCACCGACTTTTAGTTCTCATAAACTCAAAGCCATGGTCCCAATGATGAATGTTAGATGTGATARCTTGGTCAGCAAAGTTGAAGAATATGCTAATTCAGGAGAAACCTTTGATATTGTGAGGTAAGTATCACTATGTATCCAATGTGCTTACTCATTCATAACTTCTCAGTGAAAATGATTGCATTGTTAGCAAGCCTAGTATCGCTTCTAGGTTAACTAGACTCTTTTATTAGACTAGACTCTTTTATTAGACTAGACTCTTTTATTAGACTAGACTCTTTTATTAATTTTGATGTGATTTTGGTAATGGTATCAGTCCTCTATTTGTTTCTGAAAAGGCAAATAAAATTTCCATCTTGAAAGGGCCTTATTTATTGGATYAATCATTTTTTGTCCAACAGACATCAACAAGCCCTGACTCTTGACGTGATCATGTCCTCAGCATTTGGAATCCAAACAGATTACCAYAAAAACCCMAATGACCCAGTGATTCAGGTGGTTTTGAAGTCAATGAACCCCAGCTTCTTGGAACAAATATTCTTCTTCTTTCTCCTGCCAATGGTACCTTTTGGAAAAAGCATTATTCGCACAGAAACTGTTACCAAATTTATCTTTAGAAAATTTTTTKAAGTTGCCGAAATAGCAAGAGAAGTAATTGCTACTAAAAGAAAGGAATCAACTCAAAAGGTGAAAATATGGAAAAACAACATTATGAACAAACTGCCCAACTACTAAGATAAGAGATATAATGAGATAAGTAGCATCAAGGGCTGCATCTGTGTTCTTGAGTGAAGTCATTAAAACAAATTTTCTTTGTATTTAATTCTAGTGAAATATTGATGAAAAGATAATAATTGTGAATATTTGAATAATGCCTAATGAACAGCTCCACAACTGCTCCATCTACTTTTTCTCAGGACTTTCTTGTCATCACTGCTATCATCATCATCATCATCATCATCATCATCATCTCTTACAGTAATTCTATTTATTAGAACTTCTGTCATCATCATTGGTGACTGACATAATCATTTCTTCCACTTTTCTCAGGACGTTCTTGACTTGTTACTCCAAGCTACAAGTTCTGATGCTTCTGATCACAAGAAACTCACAGATGATGAAGTTGTAGCTCAGTGTGTGGTATT